AGTATAACTCTGTTCTGCACTTTTCTTCTACAACATTTTAAAGCAGATCCCAGAATCCTATCATTTCGTTAGTAAATAATTTATTATATATTTATAAGAGACAAGCAGTCTCACTTTGTCAAGCTATACATCTGTTGAGTGAATCTACCCAACTCTCCTGTAGGAGCCTCACATTCTGCACTGTGTTCTTCTCTACTCACTAGCATTTCTTGTAAACTGGCAGCTAGTTACCACAGCCAGCAGCTTATCTAAATCCTAGTTAAATCTTCTGGCAAGAATACTTCCAGGTTGTTTATGTACTACCTGTTATGGTCAGACTGGCTGTCCAATTCTTAATGGTATTAAGACTGATCATTATGGTTGCCTACTGGCAGCCTGATTCATTGGTATGTTTTATAAAATTTTAGCCTGATAGGTTTAACAGCCATGCCAATTAGTGTAGATATACTACTTCATCAGGAATTATGAAGAAGTATGTTTTCTAATGAAATAATTTCTTTCTGTATTTCATAGTCAGAATTCTTGTATTGAAAAAAGCTTTCCTTCATGAATTACTTAATTATCTTGAAATACAGTTAACAAAGGAAAATCAGAATAAATAGCTTAGTATTTTCCTTTAATTATTAATACGGTGAATGAGCTAAGGTCCTATTAACTATCAAAGGCAATTTTATACTACCATTAATTCGTGAATTTTAATATATTTGATGTTTTAAATCCCTTCAGATACATTTTCTGTAAATATTCTTGCCTGTCTTCAGAATTTCATGCTATAAAAGCTATTAAATTTTTTTTCTTATAGTAATATGCATGCCTTTGAAAGTCAAACACATTATTTAGAATGTCTAGATTGAAATCTCAACTCTATTCACTTTGCCTCAATATATACCTATCTAAAGCCTCGAGTCTTTCTCCAGAGAGAAAATTCTATTTCTTTGGTAAATACTTTCCTAACTTGTCCTCATATGTGTAAGCCTATACAGAGGACGCATGTCCTGACTCTACCTTGATTGTTTTTTTCATTTTTCCTCCTAAAATTTCTACCTCAATTTTCACCTTGAATTCTAAAGAAAATCTTTCAAGTTGGACTTGGGCTTCATGGATGTGCGGTGTAAAGGTGCATGCTTGTCAGCACTTGCCATGCTCAGGGACTGGAGACCACCAGCTCTAGCCTCATCACCTCTTCGGCTACACTATCAGCTTCCACAACTTAAGGGCTCTTTCACTACTTCGAAGAACTCCTTCCTATTCTGAAATTGTTATACTTTTCACAAATTTTAAAATCAAACATACAGAAAGGTTTGTTATTAAAAATATAATAAAGGTCTCTTGTTATTCTTTATCTAGAGCCAAATAAAATTAGTATTCTAACTCACATCATCACTTTTTGTGATGACTGCTTCTTTCATTTCTCATGGTCAATCAAATCACTCTTTATAATTTAATACTTGTTTCAAGCACTCTTTTGTTTCTATAAAGTTTCGTATGTTCCCAAATATATAGCTAAACAAAAACATGGTCCAGTGAGAGCGAGCATACTTCTGGAGGCAGGAACCCTTTAGGGAGCATTACTGTTGATAAATAGGCAAGAATCTTGCTCTTTGATGGCAAAGATTGGTCCCCATTTTTAAACTTTTTTTTTCTTTGTGAAATCAAAGTAATCACTCATTTTTAGGTCCTTGAAAGACAGCAGAATGAACATTTCTTTAAGAATGAAGTATGTACTACCAAATTTTATGAATGCTAACTCTTTAGTTTGTTCACCTGTTAAATTTGTACTTTCATGACCTTCAAAGTATCCGACACCTTCAGTTTTGTAGCTTAGCTTCCTCTTTTGACTCACCCAAGGTTGGGACCTGCTGTGTACTCTGCATCTTTTGTTTGGTGTGCTTGTTATATTACATGGTAATTTATCAACGTTAGGAGTTGAAAAGGGCTATGTCATTGTTTATGCAACTCCATGAAACTGCTGCAGATACAGTCCTCTTCCTCATGCAATAAAGAATAAGCTCACCACTGATTCTCTTCCATTTATCACTAATAGTGCACCCTAAAATTGTCATGCCACACAGAATTAGTGCCATTTGTCCTTTCTTGTTAGCTTAATCTTTATAAGGTACTTAGTAAACATGCTGGATTTATCGTTTATCACTGAAACCCATAGTAATAATGTTTTACCTTATTCATATACTTTTTCTGTACAGGGAATTTTTGTATATAAAGAGAAAATAGTAATTTAATCTTCACTAGCTGGGAAACTTTAAGGATCTTAATTTGTTACTTTAGTTCACCTAAAAGAGCAACTTTCCAAATATCACAATTTACACATTGTATTTCTACTGGGGCTTCTTTAAAAAATTAGCATTTTTATCTTTCCATTAAACTCAGTGAGAAAATTCTCAATGATGTTCTTGAGGCTAGGTTGTTGGTTCTTTGAGACTGTAGGATGTATTAGCACTGACGCACAATTATCAGATGTTTTATCTGGAGCTAGACATGGTGGCACCTGCCTATAACCCAACAATCAGGAGGCTGAAATAGGAAGGTCATGAGTTCAAAGCCAGCCTGAGCTACACGGTTGAGCCTCCTATGCCAAAAACCTAATGTAGTCAAACAAAAACCAGATTATGTCCTAGTCATGCTCCAGAACTAGAAGGAAGGCAGGTTAACCCGGTGCCTGGAGTGTAAGACTACAGGAGGCGGTCACACACTGTGACGCAGAGGGCAAGTTTACACATGTAGTGCTCTAACAGGAAGTCTTGAAGCTTTGTGCCATAGGCGTCTCCTGTCCTGCCCTCCTCTGAGCCACACAGTATGTATGTCCAAATACGCGTTGAAACTGATAGTTCTATGTGCCAGTGAGGTTTTCAGGTGATCTCTCAATTCTCTCATTGGTACAGCTTATGGTCTGAAAATTAACAGATCTCTCAGCTTCAGTACCTTTGGTTTATCTTACTTATGCTGAAAAGGTCTCATGTAGCTCAGGCTGGCCTCAAACTCACTGCCTCCTCAGGACAAAATTACAGATACACACCTCCACACAATTTCAGCATATATTTGGACATGCTTACTGTGTGTCTCAGGAGACACCTATGGCACCAAGCTTCTTACATTTATTTTGTGTGTGTGTGTGTGTGTGTGTGTGTGTGTGTGTGAGATTTAATGTACTGTTCTATGTTCTAGTCTTTGTGTGTTGGGGGTGGTATATTATTTACCCTGTGTACATGTGCAAGGTAAATCAAGGCTAAAGAACAGGTGGCATACACACACCCCATGAGAGTGGTGCTGAAAAAGGGATTAAAGTCAGTTTCATAGCCAGACACCTTAAATGGTCATGGTCCCACACACCCAGCTAGTGAGAATGCCAAGTTCTACTCTTGTCTCCACTGGCACTTTGAAATCATATCTATCTCTGAAATCATATCTATCTTGTTTTTTGCATTACAATCTATGACAAATAGTTAATACAATAACAACAAGACATATACCCATGGACAAAAGTTAACCTGGAAAAATTTGCCCAAACTATTTTTCAACCTTATGCATGAAAGATACCATATTATTTCTTACCAAACTGTCTTATATATTGCTCCAACAGTGTTTTACATTTCCATGTAGTTAATGTACATAAAATTTCCTCAAGAGAGACAGTAAATTCTAACATAAGTAAAAGGAACAATGTTGAAATTCTTCAACAAAGCACTTACTGCAATGAAATTCATAGTACATTTGACATGGGTGGTTTCTTCTCCTTCCTTTAGATTAGTATAGGTTACTTGTGTGAAGCTGCTTTCAAGTCTCCTTCTTCAAAGACCCAAATCTACTTACAGACTAGCTCAGTGGATGAGTACATGAAGTACCAGAGGCTCAGTCACAAGTTCATTAGACAAACAAACAAGCAAAATGGTATACAATGCATAATGCAAAACCATCAGCTTACAGACACATACTCAGTGAAGTATAATAAATTGACGTGAATTTTACATTTATTCATTAATTTACTGTTTATATGTGTACATGTGTGAGCTTGTTCATGTGGGGTGATATGTGTGTGTGCGCACAGGAGTGTGTACACAGGTGTGTATTCACATACGCATGGCTATATGAAAGTCAGAGAACAACCCTGGGTGGAGTCTTCTGGTCCCGTATACTTTTTTGTTCTTTTTATTTATGAGAGAAGGTCTTACTATGTAGCCCTGACTGCCTATGAACTCAGAGACCCACTTGCCTCTGCCTCTAAAGTGCTGGGATTAAAGGTGTGCCACCATGCTAAGCTAATCTGGTACAGGAGAATTGTCTATATTCTGTCAATCATATTTTAAATAAACGCTGATTGGCCGATAGCCAAGCAGGAAGTATAGGCAGGAAAACCAGACAGGAAGTAGAGGTGGAGCATTGAGAACAGGAGAATGCTGGGAGGGAGGAAGCCCATTCCTCCCAGTCCTGCCCAGACCACTGAAGAAGCAGGATGTGACCTGTTCAGCTGAAAAAGGTACTGAGACATGTGGCTATCATAGATAAGGATAATGGATTAAGATAAGTTACAAGAGTTAACAAGAAGCCTGAGCTAATGGGCCAATCACTTTATAACCTAACGTAGACTCTCTGTGTGATTTTCTCTGGGACTAAACGGCTGGGAGACCGGGCAGGACAGAAACACCAAGCAGGCCCTCTCGTTACACTAATCTTGTTATTTTGTTTTGCATTGTTGCTGTTGTCTTTAAGACAGAGTTTCACCCATTAGGCTAGGTTGTCTGCCCAGCAAAGCCCAAGGGTACACTTTGTCTCTACCTCCCTGGCGAGAAGATCACAAATATGCCATACCAGCTTGTGTACAAACTCAAGTTCTCATGCTTGTACACCAGCACTACTAAATGAGCATCTTGCCAGACAGAAAGTTTACTTTTAAATCACCAAAATGACCTTTAAATATCATGTAGCAATAGCTTTCATTACTTGGAAGCAGACTGTGTGAAGGAATAAGCATCAGCAGATGTTACCTTGGGAGAAGTGGAGCGCTCCCTCCCTGTAGGAGCGACTGGGCTTTCGCTGACTCCGGGCTTGGCTGGGAGGGTTGGTGGGGCAGGGGCCTTTCTTTTCACTCTCCTTTCAGCCTCCCCTTCTGGAACTGCAGTGACCAAATTGTTTGGAGAAGTTGGCTTGGGCTCATAAAAAGGATTGGATCTAAATGAAAGAAAAATTATCATTAAATTTCTCTCAAAAACAGTTTATTTCCACCTAAAGTAATAAAAAAAAAGTTCTGAAAATTGCATTCTCAAATAAACCCAAATCAGTGAAACCTAAAAGTTTGAAATAATGACTTTTATCTTCTGGGCCATTTCAATCCAGATTTAGAAATGATTTAAAAAACAAGCAAACCCAGGCAAGTACTCAATTCAAGATGGTGATGGCAGCAGTCACCAGCACTCTACAGGTCTCAGAGCCTGAGAGACCCACGGGGCTATGAGGGGAGATGCAGTGTCACCAGAACAACTTAAGGAGAGCAGGTCTCATGGGAAGATGCTTTTAAAAAGTGGTCTTGTGAAATCTGAGAAAATGACAGTGACTGCAGAGGATGGGGGAGCACGTCATTGTTGAGCGGGGCCTGTGCTCGGCCTGCCTGGAGGCGCTGCTGCTAGAGGCATGATGGTCATAGTGGGTTGGCCAGCTCTGAAGGCTGGGAGGTGTGCAGCAGCCTGGGGCCCTTGCAGAACCTGCCTCCAGACTCTGCCCTGTTATAAGGTCACCCTGACTCTGGACAACAAGAGGATATCTGAGATGGGTCTCAGCGACAGTCTGTTTCAGAAACCAGAAACCTTGAACCAGACCAATGACTCATTGGCAATAAGTATTTGCATGCAAAGATGTATGGGCAATATATATATACACACACACACACACACACATATATATATATATATATATATATGGTGATGCACAGCAGTCTGCAGTGTTACTTTGATGAATGAATGTGCAATACAGAGGTAGGAAAGAGGGCAGAGAGGAGCAGCGTGTGCAGTAGAGAGAGTGGCTCTGGACAATGCTGAGTGATGCTAGCAGGGTGGTGTGTAGCTGCCTGGAGCCCATGCAGAATCTGGCCCTGAATGCACTGCCCAGCCACATGATCACCCTGACTCTGAGCAACAAGACATCTGAGATGAAGCATGATTCACTTTCTGGATTAAGCACCCTTGAAAGACCTCCATAGTCTGTGCTGCTGCCAGAGGCCAAGCTGGTGTTCATGGTCCATTGTGCATCCAGGGGCCATGCTAGTGTCTATGGTCCATGCTGCCTCTGCAGGCCATGTTGATGCAGGCCCGTTGTCCATGTTGCCGAAGGACCCATGCTCCTGATAGAGGCCATGTTGATGTCCCCAGTCCGTGCTGCTGTTGAAGGCTATGTTGGTGTCTGTAGATGGTGATGCTGGCAAAAGCCATGTTGATGTCTGGGATCTATGCTGCAGTTGAAAGCCTCATTTACATCCACCGTTTGTGCTGCCTCCAGAAGCCATGTGCTGCTGTTATAGGAACGCTTCTTTTGCAGTGGCACTGACGACCTCAGACTCATATTTGAGAATGAGAGACATTGAAGGCTTCTGTGGCCACCTCTTCCTTCATCACGACCCCCTCCCCAACCAAATAGACAGGAAGCCATTAAAGAGTTCTTTAAAAATTGTAACAGTGATCCTGAAGTGTAGCTCTTCACAGCTGATGGCTTCGGGAAGGGGTGTGGGTGGGGAAGGACTCAGCTTTCTTTAAGGGGTTGGCCACTAATGCTCTAAGGAGTACATGGGAGTAATGAGTAAATTGGAGTTGGTGTATTTTTTTTCTTTTTACAGAGTTTGACAGTGGACCTGGGAAGAATAGGAAGTGAATGTGATTGGGGTGCTGTGTGAAACCCCCCCCCCAAATCAATAAAAATATTATGCTAGAAAAAGAGAATTCCTTAAAAAAAATCATGTGCAGTTTAAACTACTCTATGTAGGAACTCAGGAAAAGCATCTTTAAAGATGGGGAGTGCATCTATTTTTGGGATTCCCCCCAAAATGAAACAGAATAGAAATGTTATGCTGTACTCTCATATTGAGCGTTACAGTGGCTGCACTATGATCCCATAACAGAGAATGTGGACCCTTCTTTTCTCACATCCTCACCAGCATCTGTCATCTGATTCTTTAATAACAGCCATCTGAAGGGGGCAAAGGAAATCCCCAGTCAATTCTAATTTTCACTTCCTCAATGGCTAATTATGTTGAACATCCTTAAACACATTTATTAGCCATTGGTATTTCTCCTCTGAGGACAGTGTGTTCAGTTCTCTAGCTCACGGACTGTGCTGTCTTCTTAGTCATTCTTTATATTATAGATATGAAGTCTCTGAAGATGAAAGCTCGCAGAAGTTTCCTGACATCTGTAGATTCTCTTCTCTTTGCTATATAGAAACCTTTAAGTTTCACGAGGTTGCATTTTTCAACTGTTAGACTTGTTTCCTGTGCCACTGGAGTTGGGATTTGTGCGGGCTTCACTCTACACGTGGATAGTCACTCTTTCCAGCACCATTTGCCCATGACATTCTTTTCTCCAGAGTTTTATTTTTTTTTTGTCCTTAAAAGGAAAAAAAAAAGTGTCTATAGTTGCATGACCCTGTTTCTGGGTCCTATACTCTGTTTTCTGGATCTGTGTTTGTTTTTGTACCAGCACCATGCTGTTCTTACCACTATGGCTTTGTTGCATCATCCCAGTATCTCTAGAATGAAGCCAACTTGACTGAAATGAAGGATTTTTTAAAAGTGTTCTTGAAATCAGTTTGCAGGTACTTTTTACTATATCCATTTCATATATGTATGCATGTGAACATCACAGCAACACTTGTGAGAACTGGCGTAAGGCTCTGCAGGTAGATTATGGAGAATTCTGGATCTATGTTCCTCAGAGGCATTAGTCTGCGTCTTTATCTAATAAGGTGTCAGTGCAACGTCAGCTTCATAAAAAGGATTTGGTAGTGTTCCTTCTTTTTCTACTCTATGAATAATCTGTGAAACATTTAGTTTCTTTAATGGTCTGGTAGAATTCTGAGGCAAATTTGTCTGGGTTTGAATATTTTATTTTGTTTTTGGTCAGGAAATCTGTCCTATTTTTTTTAAACTATAGCTTCACTTTCCTTCCTTGTTATAGATACATTTTTTAAAATTTCCATCTCGGTTTAACTTGGGCATACATTTAGAAACCCATATATTTCTCTTTGATTTCCCAATTTGGTGGAATATATTTTTTAGGTATGTCCTTATGACTTTTTGTATCACACTGATAGCTGTTGGCATTTCTCCTTTTCATCTCTGGTTTTATTATTACAGGTCTTTTCTCTCTTATGGGTACTTTGGCTAAAGGTTTGTCAATATTGTATATTTTTTCAAAGAATCAATTGTTCCTTTCATGAAATATTCTTGTTTTTTCATTGATTTTAATTTTTTGTTGTTGTTCACTAGTTTTAGTTTGGCTGGTTCTCCTTTTTGGGATGTTGTAAAGTGTATCGTTATATGATATGACTTCAAATGTAGTCACGTTGGGCTCTATGGTTCCCTCTTGGGGCAAGGTTTCATGGTATCCCATAGATCTTCTATGTTCTGTTTTCATTTTCATGCAATTCTAGGAGCACTCTACACTTTCTTTTTCATGACCAAAGCATATTGCTTGGTCTCTATGAGTTTGTGCATTCTGTGTTCTTTTTCCTCCTATTGAATTCTAGCTTTATTCCTTCCAGTGCTCTCTTGCAGAGATGGTTTGGGAGTCATAAGTTGCTTTAGCCTATTTTGTCATAGAAAGTTTTCCTTCTCTTTCAGGTATGAGAGTGGTATACACAAGTATGGATTGACAGATGTGACTCTAAGAACTTGAAATGCACCCTTCCATGTCTTTTGGATTTTAGTGCTTCTATTAAAGACTCAGCTGTTCACATTCCACAGGGGTCACTGGGTTATTGAGCAGATCCAACTCTTCTCATTCATGCCCTTTGCTCCACTCCTTCCAAAACCAGGTCTGACAACCTATATGGTCGAAATTGAGACATGTGGTAAGTTGAAACTGAAGAAGATAGAAATGCAAGAGAAAAATCCTCTACCTTCAAAAGAAATGACTGAATCAAGTTGGCGAGTCTTAATGACGCAAGTACCACTAACAGCCACTGTACATTTCACAAGCATTGCCTTCTTATATTACTTCTTATAGGTATTTAACTTTGTCTTAGTTACTTCTCTACTGCCATGAAGAGACTCCTTGACCAAAGCAACTTATAAAAGAAATAATTTAATTGGGGGGCTTGCTTACAGTTTCAAAGGCTGAGTCCATGACCATCATGGCAGGGAGGAGGGCAGCAGGCAGAGATGCATGGTGGTAGAGAAGGGGATGAGAGCTTATATTTTATCCATAAGTCGAAGGGAGAGAGAGGGAGAGAGAAAGAGAGAGAGAGAGAGAGAGAGAGAGAGAGAGAGAGAGAGAGAAAGAGAGAAAGAGAAAGAGAGACACAGGAGACTGGGACTGGCATGGACTTTTGAAACCTCAAAGTTCACCATCAGTGACAACACTTCCTCCAACAAAGCCACACCTCCCAATCCTTCCCAAACAGTTCCACTAACCAGGGACCACACATTCAAAAATAAGCCTCTGGGAGCCATTTTCATTCAAACCAGCACAACTCTGTAGGATACAGAGGTTAAACCAGGCTTAAAGGACTGTGCTGCCCCTTTTGCATCAAGCATCAGAACTGCTGACAATGGAAGCCAGGCCTTCATCTGCCAGTCTGGTGGCCAGAAAAGGCATGCTGAACGGAAATGCTGGTGGGGTGTGCTGAAATCCACATTAACGCTCAGGACAAGGTTCCTGCAGCTGGTAAAAGGCAGTTCAGTTAGAGTGTTATGTTTTGCTCAAATGATTTTAATAATTGGAATGCACACCTTTTTAAAACCGAAAAAAGGAGAAAAACTGGCTGTTATACTGATGGGTCTGCCTTTATATGTCACGTTCCATCCCCACTCCCCTTTTTCTTTAAATCCACTCTGAGTATTCTAGGATATTTCATGTTTTGGATATAAGAGGACGCAGATGGATTTAATGAGGTAACTGAAGGTGCTCTCACTTGGGAAGGCACCAAGGCAGTCTCTGCCTCATCAGGCGCCATGCTGGCAGTTC